GACGATGATGACTGATCTCAGCGAGATGAGTTTACGTTTTCGTGAGTAACACAGAGTTGATGATCAGTTGTACAGGTCTTGTGGCAAAAATCTCCACATTTTGCCGGCGTTTTACAAGAGACGCTTCGTTACAGAAGCGTCGCTATCATGACATTGATTTTGACGAATAAAATAAAGAGGAAAGTTTTCACTAATCAATGAGAAACATTCTGACAACATATATAATTCACATAGTTTTTTGTGTTGGTCAGCAATCTAGATATTGATTAATTAGAACATATAGAATTCAGCAGAAATGAAATTTATACCTACCTCTTATCTATCGTAACAAGTGTATGTACATTGTACAGTATGTATGCCAATAAAATACATAAGATATTGTACCTATATAAACATATGTATCCATGGTATACCTCGTAGAGGGTGTGGATGGTAACTTCACAACAAAGCCTGGTAGTAATAGCCTGGTAGTAATAGCCTCGTAGTAATAGCCTCGTAGTAATAGCCTTAAAAACAAAATACATAATACTAAAATCCCACCTAGTTCTCATGTTGAAATAAGTGCTTCGCACGTGAAATTGCCCGTTACCATCGAGATTAGAAGGCCAGCAGACTCTGACGTAAACAGCTCGTGACGTCACCTAAGAGAGGCCAGTGTTTTACAGCTTGTCGACTAACGCGTCAGTTCGTGTTAATTCATCGGTGATTCACGTATGTTTTTGAAGCGGTCCCGAATTCTTTTGTTGTTTATTCATCAAAATAAGTGGCGGAAAAATTACTTTTTTGTGAAATATTTTGTGTTGTGATAGGCGAAATAACAATGCCTTCCAAGTGTTGTGTTCCCTTTTGTCGGGGGAATTATGTGGGTGTTCCAAAAGTTCATGCTTTTAGTGTTCCGTTGGACAAGGAACTATGGAAAAAGTGGGTATATGCAATTCACTGCTAGGATTTTACTCCATCTAAGTACTGTAGTAAACAGAGCTTAATTTATAATGATCAATTAATAATAGAAGACAATTACTCTCTCATAAAAAGTATGAGTAGAGGAAAAAGAGAAAAGCTTTGATTGTGCAGTTAGTTTTGTATTCGTATATTATATTCAACAAAATCATCTCTGAATTCGAGGAAATTTTTTGTTCATAATAAACAGGCATTTTTAACTCAATACATTCTCAAATTTCTTTCCGAAAATGGTCATTCGCCTCGTGGCAATGAATGCAGAATTCATTCCAATGATCAAATTGCAACTATCATATTAACATGTACTACAAACACTCTAATTAAAATGGTAAAGCTGCATTTATCATGCGATGTGTTTTTTTCGAAATTTTTTTTGGTACTTACGTATTTTTGCCTGAATTATCAAATTCGTGTTTGTCAGACAAAAATATGTAAGTAGGTACCAAAAAAACTTTTCGAAAAAAAAAACCATCGCATGATGAATACACTCAAAAATTAAATTACAGTTTCAAGTCTAACGATCAATTGGGTAAAAAATCCAACAACAGGAAATTGAAAACATTCACTGGATATTTTTTTAGGTAATAGGAATTCTCCAAGATAAATATAGGTAATTATAACAAACGGCATGTCTATCAAAATGAAATACATTTTCCACAATTTTCTTTTGATCAATCTCACGATAAGTTTATGTTCTGCGGGCCCTGTATAAGTAGGTGTGAAGTTTACCCTCTTCACAAGTTTTGCCAATATATTTAATTCGAATGGATTGCTGTAGTTGGGTCTTCGAGTTTTATTCTGATTTTTGCTTTGAAACTTCGTTTTTCCATAATAAAATCGAATGGGATGCGAAGAAGAGCTGAGTTGACGACTGGCAACCTTTTTTTAACCGGAAGCTCTTCAGAAAATCAGCAAAATCGGCTCAATAATGATCTAAAACTGAAATTGAAATACGCGGTCGCCTTATAGCGGCTATTAGACATGATGGCCGGCAATATTGCGTCCTTACACCAGTCATGTTTCATGATGTGTCGTGTGTCAGCTTGACAGCTGGTCATGTCACGTCAATTTTCATTATGTCATTCTCTGAATCAATTTTTTCCAGTCAACATTTGACTATTTGAACTTTAAAAAAAAACTCAGCTTTTCATTGTTCAAACTCATCAGGGCCATATTTTTCTGGCTATTCAACCGCTTCAAACTTACTTCCACCAGTCATGTTTCATGATGTCGTTACTTTATGTGCCAGCTTCACAGCTTGTCATGTCACTTCAATTTTCATTGTGTCATTCTCTGAATCAATTTTTTCCAGTCAACATGTGACTATTTGAACTTTAAAAAATAACTCAGCTTTTCATTGTTTAACCTCATCAGGGTCAGATTTTTCTGGCTATTCAACCGCTTCAAACTTACTTCCACCTGATTTACCTTGATGGTCAACCCAATGATGATAAAACTCATTGTATCTTTATGAGGTTTGTTTTTCCTGTGACAAATATTTTTTACAATTCTACATTCATAATGACTGACTGAGTATTTATTTTCATTGAAAACCTCAGAGGATATTAGGAAATATAAAAAATGATTTAAGAAAATTCACGACTGTCAAAAAATATAAACAAAAACGAATTGATGATATTTAACAATGTGTAAATTCTTCAGTTGTATACACGACATATTGTTGTGTATTTTATAAACCGAAAACATCATCCCAAATTGTTAGATTCTGTCAATTATCTTGAGTTCGACCCTGAGGTCTCGCAAAAAATGGCGTCGTTGACGTCAGATATCTATTCCACATTAAATAATAAGAACCGACGAGAGTTGGTGAGCTGAGGGTCTATTCTCGAGCGTTATTCGTAAATGAATTCGATCTTCTATTTCACTTTAACATACGTCACACACGCAACCAACCGATTCGATATATTGGGTTTCAAGACTTATTTAAGGCTGATTAATTACCATATTTTCAACTATTTTGCCAGGTATTTCATTTGTGTCGAAAAAACTAAATGATTTGTCAAAAATTCGCAAAACTCAATAGGTCTTATGAATTTCTATCAGAATCATATTTTATGAAGATTTTATGAGACATTGCGATAGTATTGATTATTTACTTCATATGATTTTTAATCAATCAGAATGTTCAAATGAGGTAAGCTACCTTGTATAATTTTGAATATACGTTATTATTATTTCCATTTCCATAGTAACTAATTCATATTGTTACATACAAAGCGCGTCGTCTAGTTGTTCAGACTAATTAAAAAATAATAGCATCGAATACAATTCGAACTTCAAAATCTTCAAGGTTATACATCTCAAACTTCCTGCACAATAATAACAAATCGTGTCAGTTTAACAAAATAATCCGACACTCTTTGTAATAATTATTCAACAAGTTATCGATGTATAACTCGAATAATCATAGTATAACTACTGATTATGGGTTCAATAACGTATCACATTTCGGAATTCATCGCTGCATATTTTAAAAAGGAATCAATGGCTTTGCTAGTTTCGGGCGAACTCAGTATATAGTGCCATTTGAGAAAAAAATATGTTTTCTCCAAATACATTGAAAGTGGATTTATAATGACACTCAACAGGCAGAAAAGGTGTACTTTTAGTGCCTATGCAGAAAAAGTTTGTTGCTTTGCAACGTTCCAAGTAATTTGAATCAAATTGGTAGTCAAAATTGACAATGACTTTGGGTGAACAAAAAATGATGGATTATTTGGACTTTGCGTGCAATTGAAAAGAATTTGGAAAAAAAAATATGTTTCACATGGCAGAAAAGAAGATGTAATGGCTTGGCTGCTTTGCTAGCCTCGGCTACGCCTAGGCTATGAAACGCCAGCTGCGGCATTAAATCTTGTGCTTTTCTGCCTAGTAAAACAAAACTATTTACCAATTCGATATATTGGGATTCGAAGACTGATGAATCTATCTACATGGAAGGTATGGTCAGTTCCTAACTCTGAGAAAACGCACGCATTCCACTACATCTCCGTGCAAGGACTCGAGGAAGGAAACTCCGTTTGGAAAAGCATATTTTGTCGATTCATCTCGAATGCCGACATAGGTAGTCGATGCAACATTTTTACGTAGGATTTTGTAGACGGATGAATTCCACTTTCTTCGTGAAGGGATTAATTACTTCGTTTCACTGGAAATAATATAAACGTGTTGGCAGGTATAGTGGCCATACTTTTTATTGGTCCATATATTTGCCACATAATTTAAATGATGAAAACTATCTAGCATCTTTTTATAGATAATTCACCCGATATTGATTGACGTGCCTTTGGATGCGTTTGGATATAGAAGAGCAAATCATATGTCAAAACGAATTTTTCATAATTAATTCATAATCAATTTTATGTATCATAGATAGGGCGAAATGGACCGACATTATGGTCAGCTAGATATCCTGACCTGACCCCCCGTTGATCATCATGTATGGGAACGAATGAAGGAACTTGTTTACAATACCTGCATATAATTCTGATATTTTTGTTTTGTTACATCTTGAATTTTATTCCACGAAATTATTATTTTTTTATTTGAATAATTATGCTGCGTTGAGTCTGCGTCTGTTATGACGTCATTCATACCAAAGATGTTTTCAAAGATATTCGAACAAATATCTGATTCACATACTTTTCGCTTATTAATTCTTATTCGCTCATAAAGTAGGAGTCGGATGTTACAATAAATATTTTTTTTAATACTAATCAGCCACACATTTCTTTATCACATGTCGATCCAATTATATTTTCAATATCGATGAAATACGTATTCAAATTTATAGGCAAAAATGATACTATCAGATAAAATGTTTGACAAAACTTTAATTACAACTTATTGTGACCTATTCATCAAATTCGGTAAAATTTGTAAAAATGATATCTCGAAATGCATAACACTTTGCATGATGGTATATATGGTGAAATATTACAACCTATCACCTCCTTTTATATAAACGTCGGTGAACCAGAAAAAAAGAAATCATTGTTAATTTTGAAACTTCTTTTCAGATTTACTACATAGTTTGCCCTGAAGTGACCGTGAACTTTGCCAGATTTCCCTCCACTCCTACTGGCAAGGAAATCACTATTATAGAACAAGCAAATGGAACATGTGTGAGTAATGCTGAAGTCGTTGGAACTACCCCAAGTTATCTATGCAAAGGTGATGGCAAATGGACTCTTTCTACTGGAGGCTGCAAGTGTAGAGCAGGTTTTCAGCCTGATATGGAGAAGCAAACTTGTAATGGTGAGAAATAATTACTTTTTTTTTCTTCTTAATATTACCCTCATACCCATGAATATCATGTATTCATCATTTTATTGAAGTGATGCAAGGTTCCATTTTTTGATAATGAAATATTTTCGGATTTGATTTTGATTTCGATTTATAAGCCACTTGTTAATAACATGAGAAAACTACCTTAGTAGTGGAATACCAGTACAGGACTTGTGGTAAGTTATGGTAGGTTCTGTGCTGAAACCGCTGTTTACTGTATGCATCGTGTATACATCTCAGGTTACCTAGTTGTTTTACTGAATAATTTTCAAAGTACAAGATTATTGTAGATCCTAATGAATAAACTATCTACTACCATTGATGCAATCAATTGTGAACATAAACCGTTCCAACCCAGTCAAATATTTCACAAATTAGTCTGTCGATTCACCCCTCTACCACAGCGTCACTATGATGGCGATTCTCTGAAACTGTTGTCGTCATGACTTGGTACCAAGTAGCTTTTTCTCTATTGACCATATACTGAGGTGCTAAGCCCATAACAACTAGCCTTTCCTTATAATGCCTATACCTTAATGCAGCGGGAACGGAATGAATTAACACCTCACCGTCGACCGCCAAACTCTCTCTGTCTCCCTGTCAGTCTCTTCTTACTCCGCACCTCTCCCTTCTTTCAACGTTCTCGAACATTCCACATCAGGCACTATTTCGCGCGCACTTATTTCTCTGATATATAGGCGGGTTACCCGGGCGCACTACATCACTCCCTATTAAATTTACAAGTTCAAAAACTATTACAATAAAACTAATACTACAAGTGCCTTATCCTGATTAGAACAAACTCATACCCAGTTTCACCAACAACGTTAATCTCTACTTGAATCTAAAGTGAGATTTCAGATCTCGATTAACATATTGAAGCGTTTCACCACACTGCAAAGCCCGATCAAATCGAACATTTGCAAATCGGCCATTTTTGGCGAGTTTATCTGTTGATCCGGATTAACTGCTTGTAAAATTCACACTGTTAAGCTAGATTGCCTATCAATCGGAGCTTAATTAATCGAAGATCAAGAGAAGTTCAATGAAACAGGGCCTTAAAGAACTAGGACATTTAATACTTGATCAAAATCATTAGTTTCAGTACTCGACCTACAATATGGCTTCACTAAATTTTGCCTATTCGAAACTTGCCACTATTCATCCCCAATGATTAAAGAATTAGGCCCTGCAATCTCTAGAACATAATTTGGACCCTCATACAATAGGAAATACTTTCGAATATCGGAATTTACTGCAGACGACAAAGGGCGATCTCTTACCAACTTGGCACCTATTTCAAAGGGGAGTAGCTAACAGAATGTTTTATTAATTTTTTTCCTGTTTTTGTTCTCTACTCATCAGGGGCTAATTCCCAAACTTGCTCGAAGTTCACAGAATCCTCCTTTGACAGTGGATATTGCACAATGTTATTTATATTATTATTCGACCTCTCCCATATTGCAAAAATACTGTTGCATACCCAGTACTAAAATGAACGACTATTAATGCACTGTTCCACATCAACTGACTCATATGCCCACTTTGTATGGGAGGAAAAACAAAATGATCTCAACATCCGCCTGATTTCTCAATTCGCGCGTTCTGTCATATTTCCTTGCGGAAAATATGCCTACGTAAATTTTACTTGTATATCTGGAGTCGTCAAAGTTTCTAGTCTATTCAAAATTGCTCTTGCCGTTGCTCGTTTTGCTTCACAAATCTCGAAAAAGCATCAATCACTACCAACAACTGTGTTACTCTTCTTGACTTGGGCAGAGGCCCCTTCAAATCAAAACACTAATTATTGCCCTGGATTTTCTACAATAACGGTATTCACTGTACCTTGACCATTATTGGAAATCTTTGACTTCTGACATAAGTCTTATGACGCCAGGATTTCACGTATATTTTTCTTCATTTTCGAAAAATTAAACCAGTTTTCTATATGTTGACACTCCGCACGAACTATTACTCCAGAGGCAAAGGGTTATACCCGCCGATAATGTTCTGCTGCTAAACTAATGAATAATATGATTGAATCTGCCAACCCCTCGAACAAATGTATTACTAAATTCACCAATATACAAGGAAAGGTAAATACTTCAACTGTGGATAGGGGTCACTGAAGTGATTTCAAAAAATCACATGAATAATGGGTCTTTGACATCTAATATAACCGAGATACGCAATGTTTTATCAATTCCACTCATATTGTCTTATAACTTTTCAACCAACCTGTATATTTTTGTTCCTGAAGCACGAAATTTCGCTTCTTGTTGATGATACTTCTCAACCACATTCTATAGGAAACACACCATTGAAAGAATGGTTTGTCTCCTCTGTCTCCGGACATGAATCCTATTGAGTAAGTGGGAAGTAAAATGGAATTGAAGTTGAAAGAAATTCAATTCAAATTTTTTCACGACTGCAAGAAATGTTTTCCTTTTTTTTTCTTTTTTTTCTGATCATCAATTACCTTCAGCTCTAGGGATGGAAAATTCTCTCAATGAACTAGGGCCCCATCAACCCTCGTTGCGCCAGGGCCCCAACACCTCTCGCTATGCCACTACAAAATCAGAAACCAGTTCGTGATCACTTAGTGACCTCATATCATATACAGGGTGTCCGGAGATAAAACCGACAAGACTTGTGGGGTTATAGGGACTGTCAATATGATTGCAAAATGCCATAAACCAATGTCCAAAACCGCTTCGTTATTGACATACAGAGTGATTTGTGGATTTTGACAAAAAATTCAATCCGGCATATCAAATACAGGGATCAACCGATTAGATTCAAATTTGGTACACGAATTACACTGAAAAGCATCAACAAGTAGCCCTTTGATCGAAATCAATATCAGGACCGGAATGATATTTTTCCCATATGTTGAGTTATTGTGAGAATAACTCACCCTGTATAATGATAACAAAAAATTTCAACTCAGATTCGACATCTACGGTAAAAATTGTATAGGAATTTGTTGAAAAATCTTCTGGCACTATCTTAGTTATTCCGTTATTAATTATTATTATTTTTTTTTTTTTCAAAATTCAATTATTATCGGATAAAGTACTATACAGGGTGTTGCGAAATTCGACCGACAACGCCTGACAGGTGATACCCCTCGTGATTTCATAATCACTGAGATAGGGACATACGGTCTCCAAGTGTTCAGTTCTCGAGATACAGGGCGTTGAAGTTTAGAAATTAAAATAGTTTTTTCGCCATATCTCAAGAAAAATTTAATATAATGCATTCAAATTCGGTATATGGTTTCATCTTTCATTGGTTCATTTTTTGACCAGAAAGACATCGCGAGAATTTTATCCATAGGTGCGCTACAGGGGGTTGTGATAACTTTTCCTCCCATATTATCTACGCCACTGACAAAATTTCGATTATTTCCAATTTTTCGAATTGATTGTTCAATTATGTTGAACAAATGCATCACCTTCAACTGAGCTTAAATGAACAGTTATCGAGATATTCGACCCAAAATCTTCCTCGGTAGTAGATTTATGTTTGTTTTCTCTTTATGCGTGGAATAACTATTTCTGTTCAGCTACAGGATGAGATCTGAATAGTATCTGATCTACTCAACACCAGAAATATATTTTTGCAATTTTCTACTACTGAAAGTAATGAAATATTACTATGCAATCTTCTATTTTGGGTCGAATATCTCGAAAACTATTCATTTCAGCTCAGTTAAAGGTGATACATTTTTTGAACAAAATTGAACAATAAATTCGAGGAATTGGAAATAATCGAAATCTACTCAGTGGCGTAGAAAATATGGGAGGGAAAGTTACCACAACCCCCTGTAGGGCACCACCGGATAAAATGTCCTGAATGGCTTTCTGGTAAAAAAATTACCTATACAAAGATGAAACCATATCCCGAATTTGAATGCATTATATTCAATTATTCTTGAGATATTGCGAAATAACTATTTTTATTTCTCAACTTCAACGCCCTGTATCTCGAGAACTGAACACTTGGAGACCGTATGTCCCTATCTCAGTGATTATGAAATCACGAGGGCTATCACCTGTCAAGCGTTGTCGGTCGAATTTCGCAACACCCTGTATATCAAAATTGGTAATATAATAAATATAAACGAAACCATGACATGAATATCGTTATTTTCTTCAATCAGTCCGTAAATCGTTATAAAATAAAATACTCTCATTACCCGAAAAAATTGAAAAATAAATTCGTATCAGGACTGGAATGCGGTTTTCTATGATTATATTCCTGTAAGAATAGATGATCTAGTATAACAATGATCTGATCGTAGATTCGAAATGCACTGAGAAAAGTTAAAAACTTGTTGGAAAATGATCGGATTGAACTTTCAAATAATAAATCCGTATCAGTACCTTATAATATTTGTGTGTAAAGAATACTAGGCTTGTGTCAAATTCAGAATTTCATTATGGAAAACCATTGTTCAGTTGTCATCAGCGTTTGTTTTATTGGTGTTCATTCATTATTCCAGTGTTTTTAGGATCAAACTATAGTTCTGAGAGTGTGCTTATGATGCCGTTTCATTTCACTTATGAGGAATACCAAGATATTCTATTTGTGTTTGGGCTTTAACTGGTGATGTTTACCTACATTTCCTGGTCAATACTTGACCGGATCTATTGCAAGGTGTAAATACCTGAGGTATATGGTTTCAGCATGATGGTGCTAGACCTCACTTTGCAGTTCCAGTTAGAAACCATCTCGATGCCAATTACCCCAATAGATGGATTGGCCGTGGAGGTTCAGTAAATTGGCCACCGCTATCCCCTGATCTAACTCAGCTAGATTATTTTTTATGAGGTCATTTAAAGTAAGAAGTTCATAATGAAAAAATATTTTATGGGAAATCACTGCTGCATGTGTTAGTGTTAGAAAAAACCCTCAAATAATTCGCAAGTCAGTGAATCATCTAATAGCACGCTCTCAAAAATGTA